ATACTTACCATCGGCGGAATCGTAGATCGACGGCTACGATTCATAGTTTCTTTTTATGATGTTTTAGTGCATTTCTTTTAATTATTTTTTCAGTTTTCCACTTTTACCCCTATGAGGGATTTGTGTCATGTTGTAGCCTGAGGGCATTTGTGTCTTTTACATTTTGTGTTTTGGAGGTCTATATATGAAGGCCTAGTCATTGCATTTTTTTTTCTAATGATGATTATGAATGAGAATTCCACTTTCTTGCTAGATCTCTTTGTGAGTTCATGAGAGGAGAAACCCTAGGTAGGTGAAAGCAATACCCGTCAACCTTTGGAGGATTCCAAGGTTCGCGGTTCTACGATCTCTTTTCTTTTCCTCTACATCCACCTCTTCTCCTAGCCATCTACCTGCCGGCCTCCCTAAAACCCCTCCCCATTTCTCCTCCTAGAGCCGGCCCTACCCAACCTGACGGCCACCCTCCCCCACTTGGCCGCCCAAGCCGTCGGCCCCAATCCACCCGTCGGCCATCCCTCCACTACCCCACCGAAAGTTCAACCGCCGGCCCATCCCTCCATTAATCCCTAGATTTGAAATTCAAATTGAATTTCAAATAGTTTCCTAATCCAATAAAGTCAAATTAGGAAAGTTTTAAATGAGATCCAATTCAATTTTGAATTAAATTGGATTTTATTTCCTCATAACTAATTTGCAAAGCTAAATTAGGAAGCCCATAATTATTTCCCCAATCCCCTCTCCCTCTCACCTTGCCGCCGCCCCATGCATAGGCCTCACCACCACTTTTGCCTTTTATTCTCCAAGCCGACATTGGATTTGAATTTGAAATTCAAATTCCCTCTCCCCTCTAATTAATGCATAAAATATGAACTTAATTTCAGATTTATAGTTTTGTCCACATACTTAAAACAAACCCCCTTCTCCCTCCTCAATGTGGCTGGCCCCATTAACTCCCCCTTCTCTCTCCAATTAAGTTCTTAACTCCACTTAAATTCTCCCTAATGTCATCCTAAACCGCCGCCCCTTTCCCTTTGTGGAATAATTTGAAATTCAAATTATTTCCTCCATTCCCTCTTAGGAAAATCTGAATTAATTTCAGATTTTCTGAAAATCCCTTTCCCCCATTCAAACCCTAGCTCTACCCGCCCCTATCCTCTCCTCTCCTCCTTACTGCTGGCTCCCCTCTCTCTCCGCCGCCCTTCTCCACCTCTCCTAACCGGAGGCTCCACCAAAGACCTACACGGATGCTCTTAATCTCATGGATGGCATATCCAGAAGTTGATCACAGATTCATTTACAACTCTCAAGAGGAAATCGACATCATTAAATCACATTTCTTCGATCCCGGGTTTGGATCCGAAGGCACCGTCAATGAATACATGGAGCGTATTCTTTTTACTTTGGTGGACGTCATCGACGAGCAACAACCTACAGAACAATGGAAGATCACCGGACGACCACCCATCTCTCCAACTCCGGCCAACTCTATGTTGATCAAAACCGCCAACATCCTCTGTCTTTCAGTGGCATCACTTGGCTTGCTAACCCTTGTCCTCTGCTAACCCTACTTCCAAGGAGTGATCGAGAGGGAAACTCGAAGGTGAAAGTTCTATTTGTTATGTGCCGGATTAGTGTTAATTGCATATTTGTCTTGCTATCGTCTTGTTATTGTCTTGAATTGTTCTTTTAATCTATCGTGTAACCGCATACTAGAAGCAAGTTAATAACTACGAAAACTGAAGATCCTAACATAGTGAAACATTAATCTTATAAATTCATTGCTAAAACAAATTTCTTAATAAAATCCTGCAAGTCCATTGATCGTATCACATCAAAGTGCATGATCTATTTTTTCAAAATTGGAAGGTTGTATCCTCCATTTCACCCACGGGAAAGGTTGGTCAACACCTTTAAGAAGGGCTGTCCAAGGAACCTTGATCGAGAATAACTCTAATTCCTGGCAAAGGTTGTCTACCCAGTGATGAACTTCATTAGGGTTGAGTCTTCTTCCAAAACTATGTCTAAAGAAATTATCAACGTCTAAAATTCTTTGATTTAGTTTGTACGAACTGTTTGAATCGTTATCTCAACTTTTGTCATCGAATTACCTTTCGTGCATATGGTCAATGTGATGATAGTTCTTCAAGATGGCTTTGAACTAGCTTCAAGTCATCCTCGTTAGATTGTAGCTCCTTGCCCACTTTCCACTGCATGAGAGCATGGACAGATTGCTTCAACTTTTTGAAAGCAATCTTTGTTGAATGATTGTAACTACAAAAAGAAAAGTAGGCCTTGAGATGCTTGAATCACGTTTCTCGACGTCAATTGTGTCATTGTAGTTTGACAACTTAAGCTCGATGTCAATCTTGAATGGTAGTCGGGTTTCCTATAAAAAAACTCCAATGTGTGATCCTCTTAATATTCCATCTCCTTGTCATCAACAGGATTTTCGTCATCTGGATTGACTCACCATAATATCTCGTATAGGTTAGTGTAATACCACTTTTCGTCATAATTCCTTGATGTTGTGAAGCCATGAACTATCAAAACATCTGTTTCAAGGCCTCCAACCTGCTTTTAAGTCAATCAGGATTTATTGTTGTTGATGACATCCCCGCTTGATTGAATATTAAATTAGCCTCTTGACTTATATTTAGATTTTTTCAGTTTCGGTATGGTTGTTTTTTGTCTTCGCCTTTCCCAAACAATCATAACATGTGCATCTTCGATATTAGAAAGGTGGTCCAAAACCACAGGAATCACGTAAGCAAGACCCCAATCTTGGAATTTAGAGTGGGAAATAATTATGGTCAAGCCCTGGATGATTACGTCCCTTCTACTACTCTTTGTTAACAATAACTTGTTGTCCACATAATAAATCATTATTTTGGGATAGTTTCAAGTTAATTGGAACATTCCCAAGCGAAGCCCGATTTCTTGGCTTCCTTCCCTAGCTTGGGGTTGCAGGTCTTTGCTCGAACCAAGGGGAAGAGAGGTAGGAGAGATTGTCCAGCTGTTTTTCTTCTTACTGCAGTCACCAGAAATAGAGCGCATGAGCGAAAACGATGGTGTGGAGCAGAAAAATTCTAAATATTTAGTTGGAGAGCTAAAATCTAATTTCCATTGCTTCAAATTAGTCTCATTTATGCTAAAAGAGAGAATTTTAAATCCCTAATCACTTTTAAATTTGAAAAGCTTACAAAATTTATTCTGGAGTCCAACTAATTCCTAAGGGAATATTTTTTTCAGAGCCTAAAATCTATAGAATCTAGGAATAAATAAGAATATGGTATATAGAATTAAAATTCAAATGAAAATTATTAATCAAATTCATTTTGGGACCAAACTATCCGGCCTTAAAAGGGATCATCCTTCCTTCTTTGGGTCAGCCTATCTGATAGCTGAAAAGTGTATTGGCAGGCAATTACTCCACTATCGCTGACCTGATCGTCTGTTGGTGCTGCCATTGATTTGCCTTGATTATTTAGATTCACAATCGAGACTGGATTCGTATTCTAATTGCCGTTCATGTTCAATATGTTTAGAAGTTCCTTTTTTATTTCAAATCTACTTTTAATGTAGTTTTAGATTAAATTTTAATGGCATACTCTTTCAATTTCAAATTTATATTTTGACACTTGTTCAATTTTAGGTTCAAGTTTGTTTCAATACTAGATTCAATTCCTCTCAGAGGTCCAAGTTTTGATATGATTTTGTGCTTAGTTTTGATTATAGATTCACTTTTTGACTCTTGTTTAAATATAGATTCATGTTCATAAATATGTTCTAATGTAGTGCAAATCAAATGTAGATTCATGGTGTGATTCTTGATTATATTCGACATCTAATACTTTCTTGAAACAAGATTCGTGAACTACAAATTTTTTTATTAGATCACACTTAATTATATATGATATAAAAAGTGCAAAATTGTGCAGTATGTGATTAAGAACCAAACCAAGAAAGGTTTCTTGAAATTTTTAATGTTATATGATAAATTAAAGAACTCATAGCAATACTAATAAAAAAATCTTGATAGTTTGAATTAAGATAAATTGAGAAGGTAATAATTCATGAAGCCAAGACAAACCAGCTTTCATGTAAAGTGTCTTCGTGAATCATTATAAATTGATGCATTGTATTTTAAAAACATGTTGCAAAACATTGTGTAAAAATGGCACATGGTTATGTAATTGCACTTAATTCATTTTTATGTCTCATAAAATATTTATCTTATATTCTTTTGTCCAAAATGTCTTTCTAAACATATTATTTTACATAATAAAGTTCCTTCATATATCTTTTTGTGTTCATTTTCATTTTTGTTATGTGCAAATAATAAGACCTATGAGAATATTGTTTTTTTATCTCACATCTGATGGATGAAAAATATGTTAGTATGCAATACCAACAGTTGGCCTTCATTCATAAACTTAAACTTTTGGATTAAAAAAATGTGGTTTAACCACTGTTGTATCAAGTCCAATTTTGTCTTCTATTTGATTTCACACTCCCTATTAGTGTTAATGGTTCAATTGAGATTGAGTGGTTCATGTGATTTGTGGCTCTCATGGTGGCGCCTTCAATCATGGTAAGTATGGTTCAAGAGCGGGTGGCTATAATGGTAGGTTGGATTTTGTGGACTCTTAGTATATGATATTTGATGAACTTGAAAACTGAAAAGTTTTTGTTTGAGTATGAGTGATTGTTAAGGCATGAGGGAGTATTGGTTTTAATCTCACATCAGACAATTGAAATATATATTTGTGTAGAAATATCAAGTTGGTTAGCTCTCATGCACAGGCTTAAGTTTTTTTTTTTTGAAAATAGATTTACCGTTGGTATATCAGACTCGACTTTGATATTTGTTTGTTTGTTTGTACTTTGTAGCATTCAATTTTATGTTTACATGTATCTGATATGTTTGAAGATGAATTATACATCTCATATAAAATTTTCATGTATTCTTTTCGTTTTTTCGCATTGTTATTCCGTTTCAGACTGATGCTTTAATACGATTATTGCCATTGATTGGCTCCTCAAGTATCAGGTAATACCTTCATACTTTTATTGCAAAATTTGAAGAGAATGCAAAGCAAAGCTTCTTTTTGGCACTAAATGAATGATGATATTAGCTTCCCTAACTTGTTTTCTTTTGCATGCTAGCACTGCTTGTCTAGTTGGCATTACAGGTGTTTTGGCCCCGGTACTTGAGGAGACGGTGTTTCGAGGTTTTTTTATGGTATCCTTGACTAAGTGGTAAAATTCGAAGCACCAACTTACTTTATTCACTACTTGACGTGTATGCTACAATCATTATATTCAGCTTGGTAGTGCGTACTTGTTAATTTTCCTTAATGAAATTTAACTTTTAGGTGCTTCCTAAGAAACCCTCATCAAATTTTAAAATTGCTCTGATAATGTGTAGACTAATTTTGTAATACAGGTTTCCAACGCCAGTTTCAGTTCTTCTCAGTGCTGCAGTTTTTGCTCTTGCACACCTCACTCCTGGAGAGTTTCCTCAGCTATTTGTGCTCGGTAAGTTTGAATGGTTTGGTTTTAAGTTTTTCTTATATAGAGATTAGCTTAGATTTAAAATTTATTATAAAACTTTAGTTGTATGACTTAAAAGTATGGAATATGTGAGATAAATCATGCTAAGGCATGTGCTGATTTGGATTTAATGTTACATCGGATTAGTAAAAAATATGTTGGTTTAGAAATACCAAATAATTGGTCCTCATCAATAATATTAAACTTCTGGGATAGAAATAAATTTGACTATTAGTGTATCTGGCCTAACATTGATATTCTTTAGAGGAATTCGTTGGCCATAAAATTGAGGTCGAAAAGCATAATGGTTCAAAGAATTTTGGGCTTTTAACATGTCAACTTCCTGGTCCGCTGACTGATTTCAACCGAGCCACCAAGCAGAGGAAACTGAGAGATGAAGAGAGATTTTTCTCCTGATTGAGCACCACCTTACACTGTAGGATTGCATGCTCTTATGGGAAAGTGGGAATTTGATCATCTGTAAAATACAAAGAAAATTTATTATCAACAGTTATTTAAGAATTCAGCTTTTTGAACTCTAGATAAGATGTTGATCAGTCAAAGCACTTAACAAAATAGATTCTAGATTTTCAAAGTTAAGGTTCTGTAGAGTAAAAAGTCCTGATTTTGAGAGAACTAGGCTTCGTTTGGATCGACTTTTTTATTGCTTCTTAAAACAGCTTTCTAGTTAAAAAATTAACATTTTTGTCCTCTACCTATTTTTTAGTATTTATTAATATATAAGAGTTTTTAGGCAATTGACTCGTCTAAAATTTTAAAATACTATGGTTTTTATGCAATTGCCCGAGCATAATTAAACACATTGTGTAAAGGTGTCATTGTTAGGGAACGATGAATCAAATACAAAGAGAAATAGTTAATACAATCCAAAAATATCCTTTCAACCAAAATTTTTTCCGGGGGTTTCGCTCCCTGCTTGCGGTGAATGGCTTTTGGCAAGTTTACTGGATGTGATAATTGTTTAGATTTTTAGGCATAAATTAATCCTCAATACCAAAAAACACTAGATCCTGCTTAATCCATGCTTGTATTTGGAAAAACTTTTAACAGCTTCTTTATTGTTGTTATTACCTTCAGTTGCTTATGTAACCTTAAATTATACTTTTGATGATTATAATCTGGATACATTATCAAGATTATTGGATTAAAATTCATCATATCTCTTATCAAAATCAAAACAGGGACTGCTTTAGGGTTTTCTTATGCTCAAACGCGCAATCTTCTCACTCCCATCACCATTCATGCATTTTGGAACTCTGGAGTGATATTATTACTGACATTTCTTCAGGTAAAAACAAAATGTTTTCGAAATCATCAAAAACTTAGATTGTTTAGACTTTCTATTATCTAACCTTTCCTGTTTTGGGTTTGCACTCTTCAGCTCCAAGGTTATGATATCAGAGAGCTATTGCAGACATCTTGAAAGATATTGATAGAGATCTCTTATTTCGAGAAAGACGAAGCAGACAGAAAAACAGAACAGGGAGAGAAATTTGTGCTTATGGTGTTCTTATTTTTATCTCTGTGCTTATGGTGTTCTTATTTTTATCTCGTCTTGGACGTTGAGATGATTTATATGACACTAAATAGTAGTTAACTAAAGTTGATTTATATCAGGTAATTGGATTTATGTCCCGTTTGATTCTTATTGCACAAACATATTGAGAGCATGAATGTTGATACTTATAATCAGAGGATTATGATTAATCTGATTTTGGATAATTTGAAACAGGGATATGAATCATCAAAGTACTCGTCATCCTTAACAAACAATTTTTATCTTGGAAGGAAGTGCTGTAAAAATAAAAGAATTTCATCAAAGAATAAGAGAATTCCAAACATTCCTGTAATGCCCTATTGCTGATAATGAGAGAAGGATCATAATGGTTCATCGATTCTTTATAGAAGATCAAAATGATTTTCAATTATATTAGATGATCATTTTGATTATTTTAAGTCTTTAAAAAGAAATCATAAAATTAATAGTTTTATGGTGAGATTACTTTGATTTGTTTTTAAAGAATTGTGGAATTAAAATAGTTCTTTAATATAATTGAGAATTATTTTTATCTTTCTTAAAAATTTAAGTGATTATTTTGATTCTTTTTTGGATTATTTTGATTCTTTTTTGGTTGATAATGTTATATAGAGAAAGAAGAGTGTGAGCTAATCTTAAAACATAACTCCACCCCTAAATCTATAAGCATAGAGATTACTTTCATCAGTTTCATCTACTCATGCTTGTGTCAACATCTTGAATCATAGTCTTCATTTTAGATTGTTTTATTGCTACTTCTAAAATAAATTTGCAATACAAAAATAGTAATAAAAAAGCAAGAAGTCTAAGTTTTAGGCTTAGACAAATTTTTGACTTAATTAGAAAAAATAATAAAAAATCACTTTATTTATACATATAGAAAAGTATAATTAAAATTGTGATTGAAAAACAAATTTTTTTAATCTCTAAAAATAGAAAAATCTTAACGGCCTCAAATGAAGCATTAGTTTGAATTTGGGTTCTCTCTACAATAATTGCACGGTGCAGTTATCCTCAACCTCACGTCAACATTTAGTTATCGTTAGAATCTGAATTTAAACGGCAATCAGCCATTTTTTTTCTTCAGGTATTAGAGTTATTTTATTAGAAAAAAAAAAAATCAAAAGAGAATCAATAGTAAGAAATTCTAGAATATATTGACGTTCTAAGTAAGCATCTACTAGAAAAATTACTAAAAAAAACAATGAAATCTAAAGTTAAATAGCTTCTATATACAACCAGTAAACATAGGCTTCATTTGGGAGGACTTTCTTACTGTTTTTTAAAGCAATTTTTTAGTATAAAAATTTTAATTTTTAAATTAAAAAATTGTTTTAAGAAGCAATAAAAAAGCCATCCCAAACAAAGCCTTAAACCAATAACAGGGTCTAGAAATTGAGAATTTTTCAGCATGATAGGAGAAAAGAAATAAGTTAGGATATTGTAGCTCCTGATTTAAATAATAATAAGTTCCAGATGTTTCCAAATCACAAACTTAACAATGAAGTTCCTATCCTTAGAGAAATGAAAGAAAACATACACCAAAAATTTACCACTTATCACCACCACACCAGCTCTAGGAAACTAAATTCAATTCACCAAGATTACCAGACAATCAAGCTAATGAGGAATGCCAAAATTTTGCTTTAGTTACAAAACTCCCCCATTTTACTTCTCCAGCCTAGCTCTTCGCAGCTTGCTTTTCCTTGGCCTTCTGTATCTTTAAAACCTTTTTGACAATCTTCTGCTCTTCAACAAGAAAAGCACGAATGATCCTGTATAGAGGGAAGGGATGGATTAGCGATAATGGAAGAAAATAAAGAGCAGACGAATGGCAATTAACTGACCTTTCCCTGACAGCACCTCCGGATAAAACACCTCCATATGCACGGTGGACGGTCCTCCTGTTTCTAGCCAATCTGGATCTTTTATACTCGGCAGGTCTTAGGCGGGGAATCTGAAAATTTAAGGCATATGGCTCAAATTGACAGGGAAATATACTGCTTGGCAAAGGAAAAGAAAACTGCGTACGTCAAAGAACAAAAAGAACACAGAAGTAAAATCCAGATCTACAACCCAGCACAGCAGATAAGAAATTCAGGTTCAGTTGCATGTTAAATGAATAAAAAATGATGAACAAATAATATTAAAGTATGTTAGACGAGTGTGGTAACACCAGTAGTCAAATTTCTTAGATACTGTCAGGCACTATAAAACTTGTCTTAGTTCATGATTGTCTCAACCAAAATATATCAAAGATAGAAACCTAGTTGATGATACGCTGATATGTGTTATAAGGCCAAGCTATAAGCTACATAAATACCGTATAATTTACATTCTTTTCAGATGCATGGTGATATGTGTGAGAATTTCATTTTAAGAATTGATAACTTAATCATGTCTAAGGAAGAAATGAATATAGGAGACGAAGCTTACAACAACAACATCAAGCCTTTGTCCCACTACGTGGGTCGGCTACATGAATCATTTTTCTCCATTGTGTCCTATTAAAAGTCAAATTCTCGTTTAAATCAAATAAAGAAATATCATTTCTAATATTTTCTAACCAAATCTTTTTAGGTCTACCTCTACCTTACACGTTCAAAAAAAGATACCAAGTGCTTTCTGATTTAAAAAGGGGATTTCAATGGTGAAAAAAAAGGAGCCTGCCATGATAGTAAGGCAGCTGGCTAATTAACAAATAGGCTAGCACTTGAACTTCATAAAGGCCCCTAGCCTACTAAACCCACAAAATCTAGGTAAATAATAACCTTAACATGCATACAAGCAATTTCTATGGCTCATCTTACAAGATTCAAGAATCTCCATCAATCATCCCCCCATAGATTTAGAAAAACAAAACATATGAAGTATATGGATAATGTTATGGGAATATAAGCAATACTTTATCATAATACAACCTCTTATTTAAGGCATTTACAAGCCTTTCTTATAATGCAATCCAATCTTGTTTAAGAGTTTAAGGCTAGATTTAAAACTTTATATAATGAAAATGTAATACCATAAAATACGGTTAGTTTCATATAACCTAACATATAAGCATTTAGTAGCCGTTCATATGATGCCTCCAACCATGTTTTAGTGTTAAACGGTAAAATTAAAACTTTATTTAATCTTAAATGAAATGCTAGAATACAGGATTAATTGGCAACTATTCAAATTTCACTTGCCAATTTTGAAACATGTCACAAGGAAAAAATCTTATGCACTATGATGTACAGGAATGGTCTATAAGGCTGCTTGTTATTGATATGGTTTCCCTATATGCCAAGGATTATCAACAAATGCTGTCATAAGGATGCAAATAGCTAAAAGACTAAAAGCAAATCAAAGGTCTGCAGACGATCTTTAATGAACTTTCTCTTAGTAAGTGTTGTGCAAAGAAACTCTGTCAAGAAGTCGAATTTCCTAATGAAAAATCAGCCTAATGTTAAACCTCCAATTCAATATGTACAGTACATTCATAGATTCTAACCATTCGGTATCATTAAATTGAAAAAAAAAATCAGACTATCATATAATGAACCTATGAATTGATCAGATCAACAATCAAATAAGAAATGATCCACAGCACAACATCCACCACTACAATAAAGACATGACCAATATAAATGGATGATTATCTGAATGCATGATAGCATTGTTTTAAAAAAATGTCAGGAAGGAAAAAATGCCAAAGACAGGTAAGAACATCACATTAACATTAAAAAACCTATGAGAAAATCCTAGCAAGCCTTTAAATTTGGGCAAATTATTCTGTGCAGACACCGAACGCCGTCCAGATCCCAATGAAAATGTGCCACACCACCCCCTACTCGATACCGTGGCTCGGAACTGGATGACGTGGCTACACCTGATTTTCCTCTTGACGGTAAGTTGTGTCCGGTGTCCGCACATAATAATTTCTCTTAAATTTGAGGGTAATCATAGCTACAAAAATGGAGATGCAAGGTCAAAGACTAGCAGAACTGATCACATTCATTGACGACACTCATGAATGCCAAACTAGAAAACAAGTACAAGGAATGAAGCATGAAACTTAAGAGAAAGAGTCTCAAGGAATAAAGAGAGGGGCAAGGAATTACCTCCGAAATTGTAAATATAAAGGAAGTATTTTACCACACCTTTCAAACTTAAATATTTAGGCATTAAGGATGCATCCAATCAGTCACCTTAAACTCTAAGGAAGAACCAGCATTAAGTAATTCAAAATTGTGCATTTAAACCGATAAAATCATAAGTATCTCAACCCAGCCCTCTAATTAGGTTAACTACGATTCTTTGGGAATTATGCAAACTAGCCTGTCATACCTCTCTAACTTACTATCTCAGGGCTACATCTTTCGACTAGCTATCTCCATGAAGATCATAAATACAAAGTATACTAAGCAGGAGCTCCGAACACAGAAAACGAGTTAAATAACACTAATTGCACGCTTGTACATAAACAGTGCAACTGGAAAGCTTTACAATTCACATAATAACCCACAAACAGAATAGAGAAGGTAAACATGAAGGACTTACACCAATAATCCTCTTGCCAGTAACAGGGCATTTTGGCCCACTCGCCCTTTTCTTGGTGTACTGGTAAATAAGCCTGCCACCTACGTTTCCATCAAGTCGAAAAATAAACATATTAAAGGCAAGAATTAGCGCCAAAGAAAAAAAAAAAGACGATGTTCTCACATATAAAACATGTACTCGATCCAATGAAAGTGCTAAATTAGATGAAAGAAATAATCATAAGCTAAGAAAGAAACAACCCACAAACTAGAGCTAGAAAACACAGCCTTGATCTATCAAAAATGGTAAATTTAACAGGAAAAAATCCACTTTTTATTCAAAAAAAGCACAGACAAAGAAAGATGGAATAATCTTTACCTGGAGTTTTCACAACCCTAGTCTGGTTTGATTTAGTCGCATAGCTATGCCGCTTCCGGTAGGTTAACCGCTGCACCATTTCGAAGTTTTCCTTCGACGCTCGCCCTTTCTTTTTCGTGGAGCGGCTACCAGAAACGAAAAGAAAGCTTATAACTAGGTCCTCTTCTTGATGACCTAGATCGAACGGAGTTTATTAGTTTGATCCAACGGTGATCAAATTTCTACATTTATAGCGATCCTCATGACCTCAGCTACAGGATTAGCGAGCATTGCGCTAAAGCCATAAAGAAAAAAATCCCTGCACTGAAACAATAATAGATATTTGAAATTTTTCATACAAACATATTCATTCTTATGCATGCAATAATACATTAGGCTGCAAGGCCTTTTGGCTTTTGCCCTTCTCTAAGAACCAAAAGCTATGCGGTAGAAAAAATAATTAAGATGTGTTCAATGATAACATAAAATTCGATAATATATATCATCAAAAAATTATCTTGATAGGGCATAAATCTCGAGGCAAAATCAAGTTGAAAAGTTCTAAAATTAAATTTGTGATCATCTGAACTTTAATTCCAACAAACTTATAGTTAAATTGAACATCTAAAAAATACGAACCATCGACAATAAATTCGACTCAATCCAAGCCCAAATGGATCAAAATCGAAAACCCGAAGCACATTCAAAAAGTTCAAACAATAAATTTGGATGACAAAACGATTTCCAAACATGATATGCTATAATTAAACTGAGCGACACAATGAGACGAATCCAACGAGTCCAATATCATAAAATTATAATATCATTAAGACAATTAAATGCATAATAAACGGTCAAGGATCAAAGGGATTAATATCGGCAGTCCATTCAAACAAATCCTAACATACCCTTGATCTTCCTCCTATTTACCGGTCATTCCACTCTCAGAAAATTATAAGTAGACATCTTAGTTCTCAGGGAAAGGGACCCTAAACGAGGAAGTAGAGGGAGCAATGAAGAGAAAGGAGGAGAAGGAAGAGAGAACTAAATCTCTCTTGCCACCAAACTCCTCCTTGACCAACGTCCGACCACCGGCTATCGCATGAATTTTGCCCGGCCACTAGCCATCGTCAGACTTCTACCCTTCCACCAGCTATTGTCAGACTTAAGCCCAGCCACTGATTATCATCAAATTTCCTCTCGACCACCAATTATGATATCTTTGACCTTCATGGCCTAATAATGGTCTTTCTGGCCATAGTCATCCATTGACTACGGTCCTTCCAATCTCTATCTCCTGACAACTTTCTTTCTGACCACCGTCGCTCACTAACTACAGTCTTTTTGACATATGTCGCTAGACACAGTCTTCTGCTAACTATGATCCTTTCAACATTTGTCGTCCAATTACGATCTGTCCACCAACCTTCACCCGACTATAATATTTCTGATTATCTTCACCCGACTATGATCTTTTTGACCTCTATCATCCGTTAACTATTGTCTCTTTGACCTCCGTTGCATGTCGACTACAGTCTCTTTGACTACCATCTCCAGACTACAACCTCCCTGATCTCCATCACCTGACTACAATTTGTTCGACATATGTTGTTTGCTAACTATGGTATTTTCGACCTCTATTATCTTACTATGATTCTTCTAACCACCGTTGCACTACTACGTTCCTTCCGACCTACATTGCTCATCGACTATGGTCCCATCGACCAAACGAACATATCAACATTGATTCTTCCAACTCCCACCATGTAATGCACTCTATATGATGTATATTTGATACATCAAGCAAAGGCCTTCTCCGTTCATTGGTAATCAAATGCAAATACTAGTGGATTCATTTAAACTGGACAATGATTTATGATTTTCCCCTTTTTAAGGGTTTCTATGTAAAAACTCTAATGTTTCTTATAAACAAAACACCGATCTTTTTTATTTGTATATGTACTGGATCTTCGTACAAAATTGAGACGCTAAATTTTATATTTCTCTACTGCCGTGAATATCCCAGGATGCAACAAATATGAATATGACAGAACAAGACAATTATCGTGAGAATTAGATAGTAAAAAATGTAAAATGTAAAGAGAATGAATCTATGATTATTTACTCACAAAAGACTTCATGTTTGACCATGGGCGGAACCACCTTTGGGTGAGGGGGGGCAATTGCCCCCCCTTAAAAAAATAAATTTTTATTTTATTGCATGGTTTTTTAGGTTTTTTAATCTTTATTATAAGGGTTTTAGGCAAATGCCCCCCCCCCTAAAACTTTTAAAATACTATGATATTTAGACAATTGCCCCCAAACAAATATTAAAGAGCATTCATCATTTTATTTTTAAATTTTAATTCCAAAAATATCCTTACAACCAAAATTTGTTTGGGGGCTAAATCTCTATTGCCACCAAACTCCTCCTTGACCAACGTCTGACCACTGGCTATCGCATGAATTTTGCCCGGCCACTAGCCATCGCCAGACTTCTACCATTCCACCAGCTATTGTCAGACTTAAACCCAGCCACTGATTATCATCGAATTTCCTCTCGACCACCAATTATGATATCTTTGACCTTCATGGCCTAATAACAGTCTTTCTGGCCATAGTCATCCATTGACTACGGTCCTTCCAATCTCCATCTCCTGACAACCTTCTTTCTGACCACCGTCACCCACTAACTACAGTCTTTTTAACATATGTCGCTAGACACAGTCTTTCTAACCACAGTCTTCTGCTAACTATGATCCTTTCAACCTTTGTCGTCCAATTACGATCTGTCCACCAACCTTCGCCCGACTATAAATTAATCATATTTTCATTTTAAATATACAACTGCTTTTATTTTAGAAATTTCATTTCATGAACAAGAAATATTTCATATTTGTCCATGTTTGTTAGATTGTTTGTTTAGAATGTTCATGAACAAATTTAATGTTTGCTTGTTTAATAGATTGTTTGCGAGATATGTTCACGAACATAGCTCGTTTAAAGCTCGATAAGCACTAAACAAACGAACATGAACCAAACATGAACACCCTTAAATTAAACGAACCAAACATGAACACAAATAATAAAGCTCGAATCAAACACAAACCAAACATGAACAAGCTAATGTTAAACAAACACAAACATGAACACTCACATACTCGGCTCGGCTCGGTTCGTTTGCAGCCCTAGACCACCTTCACCCGACTATGATCTTTTTGACCTCTATCATCCGCTAACTATTGTCTCTTTGACCTCCGTTGCATGTCGACTACAGTCTCTTTGACTACCATCTCCAGACTACAACCTCCCTGATCTCCATCACCTGACTACAATTTTTTCGACATCTGTTGTTTGCTAACTATGGTATTTTCGACCTCTATTATCTTACTATGATTCTTCTAACCACCGTTGCACTACTACGTTCCTTCCGATCTACATCGCTCATCGACTATGGTCCCATCGACCAAACGAACATATCAACATTGATTCTTCCAACTCCCACCATGTAATGCACTCTATATGATGTATATTTGATACATCAAGCAAAGGCCTCCATTCATTGGTAATCAAATGCAAATACTAGTGGATTCATTTAAACTGGACAATGATTTATGATTTTTCCCTTTTTAAGTGTTTCTATGTAAAAACTCTAATGTTTCTTATAAACCAAACACCCATCTTTTTTATTTGTATATGTACTGGATCTTCGTACAAAATTGAGACGCTAAATTTTATATTTCTCTACTGCCGTGAATATCCCAGGACGCAACAAATATGAATATGACAGAACAAGAAAATTATCGTGAGAATTAGATAGTAAAAAATGTCAAATGTAAAGAGAATGAATCTATGATTATTTACTCACAAATGACTTCATGTTTGACAGCCTTTTAAACGATAATAATCGCAATAGTTTGACTAATTTTAAAGCTTCGGCATTATAGAAATCAATATAATCTTGTTTGTCTTCTAATGAATCATAAAAACATACATTAGTTGAATAATGAGCATAAAGATCATTAAGGCATTAGCATTCCAAGATCTTGAACCGGCGTCCAAGTTCTTATTCACCTTGTTGAAGAATGAATCTTCTAAGCAGGATATAGTTTTAGGAGTTGCAAATGACAAACTTATAAGATTAGAGATCATAAAGTCAGGCAAAATAAGCTTGAGGATATGTAAAGCTGCATCAAAAGAGGCATTGATAAGTAATTCATATGGGTAGTAGAGGAAGTGATTATGTAGTGTTCAAGAGGGCATTAAATATGCGACATAGATGATAGCCCTCACGTACATAACTCATATTGTAGATACACAATCGATCATATTACATTGACATAGTGGTAAGAAGCCATTGAAGGTAGCCAAAGGCTTGATCACCATATATATAATGAGCTCTATAGAACACCAAAAGCCTTGGTTGAAGAGCTCTACTTTAAGAGAGAGTTATATGTGGTGTCGTGTGAAGAGCTCTACTTTAAGAGTGATCATGATAAGGTTTGATCTTAATTTTTTAATTTGTAGCTGTCAACTTAAGATTTATGTATATATACTTGATTTTAAAAATTAATAGTCAAACTTAATTTTTTAATTATCTTTGGCGAGTGATTGTTATTATGTAGAATCGAAATTTCCTCTGGATTACATAATTGTATGATATAATTGAATCACCTATTTAATTATAATAGGTTGAAAATTTTTTAATCAAAGCAAAAAAACATAATGAAATGCTATAATAACATTAAGTAAAATTTATGTGAATCTTAGTGAAAGAACTATTACTCATAAAATTATCAAATAATTTCAATTTTTAGTGAAAGAACACTTAATTAATCATAAATAATATTAATATACAACCTAATAACAAAAAATAACTCCACCCTTATAATTATACAACCAAACAAAAATAAAATATAACAACTTATTTATACTGTAATAATTCCCAATAAAATGAGTTGTCAATGTGAGTGAAACACGTGTGAAAAGCACTTCTCTCTACAAATGCCTTAATTTCAGATCTCTGCAAGGACAATACACGAGCAAATTAATTACAAATAAGTAAAAAGAAAGAAGGTCATGAGGGTGGGGGTGATCTGTCTTCTCCAATGCAGGAAATTCGTTGACTACTGGCTGTTTTACCCCCGCTATTAACCAGCAGTTCAACCGCTGGTACTGTTTGAGCTGCCGGAAAATCACAAAAAAATTTTGCCGCCGAAAATTGACAGCCGATTTGTATTTCCTACGCAGTTTATAAATTGCCGGAAATTTTCCAAACAATCAGAAAATAGATCAAAACCGTCGGAAATTACCTCCATTAATCGACGATTTTCCGGTAGTGCTCCTTTAGTTTAGCAATCCAACCCTTCAATAAAGGCATTGGAAGACTAAGCAAGACAAACAGCGTAGCTAATGTTGTGCCTTTCAATGGTCCACCCCCCAATACCATAAACCCAATGAAAGTTGTGGGCCAAAGGAAATGCTCCACCTATCAACTTTGAGGTAAAACCAAACGCTTGTGGAATTAGACGTTGGACAATTAAGTTAGCCACCCATTTTGGAGCAAGACTCACTAAAGTGTTCTCATAATATCTCATTCCATAATTTTATGCATGATAGCCAACGTTCATGGGGAGTCGGCAAGGAATTAAATGAAATGGGAATATTTGTATGTAGCTCCCTCAAATTTGAACATTTGTCAAAAGGGGATAATTGCTTCTAAAATTTATAATGAATTGCATTAGTGAATTAGAACATTTCGTAAATATGACAAATTACATAGTCGGTTACCTACAAAAAAAAAATGCTCATCACTGATAAAAAAGAAGGTTAAGAAATAGATTGAAGGCATTAATTTAACTTAACTCTTATCTTACTTTTAATGTAACATTATTAAAACTAACATGTTAATTTATTTTTATAATAATATTGGTATTCTTTATCATGTTGTCATCTTGTACGTTCGACTTTAATCATCGACTAATTAATAAGGAGGTATTAGTCGAGTATGAACAGGACACAATAATATACTAGCTTCTAGCCAAATTTATGTCCCATTGAAATCTCTTTAATTGTCATTTAGCTCTGGTTGACACACTTTTCTCAATCTAAGATACTAGTCGAATCCTTGGTAACTCTAAATTACCAAAGAAAATCTCTAAATCATAAATTATCTCTTTTTTATATGCTCTTTTGAGCTCCTTTGTTATCTATAAAAATTCTGATACTTATTTTTCGCATATGACACTGAATCCAACAACTATAATTTTAGAATAAATTTAAATATAATATAACTTCACCAAACGCAATTACATTAGCTATGTTTATTTACATTATTAAAAAAATAAGGTTAAACTATTGCAAAATTAATTATTGCATTTTTTCAAAAAAAGATCTAACAATTGGGAGATTTATAAAAAAACCTCTCCATGACAAAAAAAGTAGGTAGGATGTACTTATAAGTCATAGTACAGGTGTCGTTTGATCACTTGCCATAGCAAAGTGATAAAAGGGGCTTCCAACGGCAAAGTAACTGCTAGGAGTTTCCATGAAGAAGTTGTATGTGGTGCTTCGAAGATGTGAACGGGCTTTCAGTGCGGCGGAGAGCTACGGCGAGTGCAGGAAGAACCATGCAGCGAGGGAAGGCGGGTATGTGGTGGATGGATGCAGGGAGTTCATGGCAGGAGAAGAAGACGAGCTCAAGTGTGCGGCCTGCGGTTGTCATCGGAGCTTCCATCGCATAGTTATGCAGTGTGATCAGGGATTCTGTGACTGCGGCACTTCCTTTCTGGTGAGGAGGCAGTAGCTACAGTTAATTGATGATCGAATATTTGGTTTTACTTTATATTTCTTGCTTTGTCCTGTATCTTTAATATAGTTTGGAAATTATTGATCTCTATAGTTTGGATTTTGAAGTGTTTTAAATATTGCATATGGAAGATTAAAATGAAGTTACCAATGATTTTTCTGTTATAGGCTTATTTGATTTCTTGTAATTAAGTGGAAAATTAAATATGTTTTAGATCAAGTAATGTTTTTTTTTTGTGTCAATTGATAAAATTATTTTAAGGCAGTTTTTGGTGAAATATGAGATATTTGATTAGCATTTTTAGAATATTTTTTCTAATATTAATTACTAATTAAATATGCTTCGAATCCATAAATGGACCTTAGTGAGGATTTTGCTTGATTGTGTAGTTCATAAATGATCAAGGTTTTATGAAAATTTTAGTTAGACTTTTTTATGGAGAGAGAAAAATAGGATATAATCATACAACTCTCTATTTCATACACAGATCACACACATACTTTGGCATTGCTTATACAACTCTCTTTCTAGCATCCTTATTAGTTTAGTGAGCACAAAAATGAAAACGATTAGTATTTTGAACATGGATTGTCATAATAATCGGAAGACTTATGTTTCGTTTGAGACAGCTTTCTTAATGCTTCTTAAAACTGTTTTTTAGTACAAAAATTAAAAATTTTGTGCTAAAAATCTACTTTAAGAAGCGGCAAGAAAACCGTCCCAAACGAAACCTTAAATAACTCTAGAGAAGTTGCAACAAATGGAGGATTGCTCACCTGAAGCCTTAAAAACAGAAACCAGCTTAATCATCGATAAGCTACCTAAAAGCTAGCCACAATTTGTTCTTCATTCAATACTAAGGTGCTGAATTTGATCGAGACATTCAAGAAGTCATCCATTAGTTGAGAGTACTTGCCTGAAGTACTTGTCGACTCTTTGAGTGTACTCGCTCTTCCCTTGGGCAACAAGATAATACTGCAACATAACTCACCTAGAATGCTCATCAAATATAATTCTCTTGAAATTCTCATCGCACATTCACCAAAAAGATGTCACTTGCTCACTTAAGATAACCTTCGACTCAGTAAGTAAACACCCTAGGAGATGCCTCTGCTTAGTGAGTGACCAAATGATTATATAACTTGAAAGAAATTGCAACAGGTAGATGATTATTTGACAAGATGATTCTTAACATCTTCTAGCACTTTGGACAAGCTGCTCCTCTTCCTCTTTCCGCTCATGAACAAGAGATTGTCATGTCTATCAAGCTTTAACACCGCCTAATTTTGGAGAGATTATTATGTGCGGATACCAGACACAACTTATCGTTCAAAGGCCAATCAAGTGCAGCCACATCATTCAGTACCGAGCTCAATACTGAATAGGAGTGACGTGATGCATTTTCATTGGGTTATGAATGACATTCAATGTCCGCACCTAATCATTCATGCGCAATTAAGATAGGATAGTGCGGTGGTCCTCTCAACTCTAATACCATTTGATTGAGATTCTCCACTATTTCAAAAGTTATTTTAATTTACTGCTCTTTTTCTATCTCTGACAGTCTGACCTTTTCATCTACTAATCGGGAAAATTTTTTTTTTTTTTGGGACATTTAGGCCATTTAAGGCAAACACACACACTAAACGCATACACATAGACTCGAACCCTGAACCTCTTAGTTGGAAGCCAAAGCTCTCAACCAATAGGCCAAGGAGAGTTGTGTATCAGGAAAAAATTCTCTCAAGATTTTTTGAAATTCTGAATTGGATTAATAACTATAAAATTAAAGATTTTTAAAATTTATGATTTATTTTATATTGTTATAACTTTACATAACTATTTTTGTTCTGATTTAGCTCGCCTTCTCTCTCTCATAGATTCTTACTTCATCACTTGTGCACAATCCCCATCTCAGCCTATTGCTTCCCCAATTCCAATAACTCACTGCCAGCTGATAGCCAGGAGAAATTATTGTGTGCGAAGACCGGACGTAGAATGACGTTTCGAGACCAATCAGATTGCATCACGTCAGCGGTACCAAACTAAAGGGTGACATGACGCATTCTGATTAGCCTCCGGACGAAGTTCGGCTTCCACATAGAAGAATTAATCGATTAATAAGAAAATTGAAATCTATTTTTTACAAAAAATAATAGTATATAATATCTTCAAAGCTTTATTAAATTTTGTTTCTCATAATAATTTCATAATTATTTTATATACATATAAGCTTATCCATAGATCCTAAAGGTCTCAGTAACTATAAAAATAATTGAACAATTATAAGAAAAAAAAAAATAACTGTGGGTGTTATAACTTTTTTTTTTAATTAATTTTTTTTATATGCACCAAGCTCTTATTTTTTATTGAAATATTCTACTTCTCTACGTAAGAATATTTAAAATAACTTAAAATTATATCTGAATAAAAATATTACAACTATCTAAAAAGCAAACTTCGTAAAACGAGCGGCAGATCATCGTCGCGCTTCTTAATTTTAAAAGCCCAAAACCGGGCCTATGAAATTCATATAAAAGCCCATATTTTGGCTCTTATTTATATCAAGTTAAAAATGCGATTTTTTAAAAAAAAATTAACTAATATTTTTCAAAATTTATTCTAAATTTAATTTCAATTTTATTCCAAAAATTGATAAAATTATTTTTGACCGTACCTTAACAAATTATTAAAACAAAAAAAATCTAAGGGCAATATCATAATTCCATTGATAATTTTTTTGTGCAAATATCTTTTTAACCCTCGCTTTCAAAATAGTCCAAATTAAAAAATAAATGAGATATTATTCAACAAAACAACTAAAGATAATATTTAAGGAGAATCTCTCATTTACAAAAAAATCTCAACCGTTAATTTCATCTAGAAGTTTATTATTAATTTACTTGTTTTATACGCAAACTAATTCACGAATGACGAATCTTATAAATTTATCATTTTTAAAATATGATTTTTTTTTTTTTAAATAAAAGCAATCTCTAAAGGAGACTATTAGGCTTTTTATCATAAAATGGTATCACCATCACAATTCAGCAGTGGGACTGTTGGCCAAAAAATGGTTGCATGATATGTGGCTGTGCATGGTTAACTCATCTTGACAACTTAAGAGAAAATGATAGAAAACCACACTGCCACTTACTGAATTTATGGCTGTCAATTTGATCGATGTTAATAGAATATTTTCACCGGGATTACAATTTCTTATTGCTTTTAGGCTCAGAATAGCAAATGAGCCATCATTTGTCTAAGTGCACCACTTTTGTGAATGATTTATGATATGTAGCTGAATTATTGACAATTTAGGATTAAAATTTGAGCTATTCAGGATACATTTTTTTTGGGGTATTTGTTCATAATTATGTTGATAATCTTGAATGGAAGCGAGAAGAATCACGTCTTATTGAAAATTGAATAAAGTGGGGGAATATTTGGCACAAAAGTAAGTTGGTGGATATCAATGATGGTTATATGGGTCGATATGTAAATAGAGGTATGTAGTTTGATTATATGGTTCAAATGTTGACAAATTCAAACATGATAAAATTAGATGTAATGATGTTACTTTTAGAAATCGTGTTATAATTAAAGAAGTTGAGTATTGGTCATTCTCCCAAGGGGAATTCATCTAAGATAAGATGAATGAGTAATCCTGACGGATGTCATATATATATGAAACACTACTAGATTTAAAAGGAGGCAAATTTATCACTCTCTATTGGGGATTCTAAATTACGTGAATTCCTGGAGGTGGATATTAGTCAAGATGGTGATGCCAAGAAGATCATTATTAGGCCATGGAGGCATAGTAATTTTAGTTTATTGGTCTAATAACGATTATATTTGAATATTGTTGAGCAAGAAATCACAATGCGCAACTATTTAGGAGGCGGGTGAATTTCACTAGGTTATAATGCCACGATCTTGATTGGCAATATTTTTATAACAAAAAAAATCTCATTTATGATTCTTCCATTTCATTGAATATGATCATCAAGAAATCGAGGACAATAATTTTATTAGTTTGATCTTTTCAACCTCCTATATTAAGGGTTAATCCTAGAAATCAATGATGATTATTGAGCAGTGACCAACACAAATAACATCTTTGATTAATGATTTGAATAACATGTTGAAGTTATTGATATCATGATATGATGATTTGCTTACACTTTACTGGAGGGTCCGTGTGGGATGACTGGGACGTTGGGAGCCTTGACCAAATTCTGAGCTCGCTTTTAGCTTATTTTTTCCTTATTGTTGTCTTTTGTCTGTTTTATTTTTCTTTTTGCTGTTGTATCCTTTTGGTTGTCTTTTAATATTAAAAAAAAATGATATTGATATCATGAGTTTAATAGAGATGACATATCAAAATTTTGATGATTAGATTGATGAAAAAGAAGTTCATCACTCATATTTGGAGTCTTAGAAAGCTAATAATGAGACCTTATGAAATATTGTTTGTGGATGTCATAATGGCTTTGAGAATTTGAATACTTTTCAAGCGATATGTATAGTAAAGAGATGAGTTGGAGTGATCGATCATATTAATTTTAGGAAACTATCTCTCGGCTTGTCTAGTGATTGATATGGGCGATGGCGTTAGCCTCTTCCACCCGGCCTTCTTCCTTACGCACAAACAAGCCATGCATGAGGAAGTACATAGAGGATTAGTCAACAAGCACTTGTGAGGAGGAAAAGGACTAACTTGGGCCTTCCAAATCAATCTTATCCTAGCTAGTCAGTCTTTCTTTAGTTTATTCATGTTTGTTTGGATTCCAAATTTGCACAATGTTGATGCTGATGGATTCATTGTAACCGGTCAATCTTTTCAATGGTATTTCTATGTCATTCAGAGCTTCTTCAACTTAATTCCGAATAAAATATTCAGAAAAAGCATGAATTACATACAATTCAATCAAATTTTATAAGTTCTCATGATCAGATTCATGCACTGCCAGCAAAATGGGTTTAGAGACAGATTAATTGCTTTTCATTTCGTTAAGCCTTCTCATGAAGTATTATTAGTAGTATTATTATACAGTACCATTTATGCCCCATGCAAATAAATCATACATGCATAATTCAGAATTATTTGATTTAATATGATTAACAAAAGCATCAAATGCCATTTTTATGGAAAGTTTTTAGAATCCGATCAAATATTACATTGGCGGTTTAAAGATTTATTGAGATTCAACTGGGGAATTAAATTATGATGATATAAATATTATACAATTAATTAAAATTATTTAATTATTGTATTTTTTTAATAATGATAATTAATAAATGATAATATGCATGTATATATGTAAGATATATCATGAAATATAATGCGCATGCAGAAAGAAGTTAAAAAAAAAAATATTTATTCCAATGTCATATCTTGATTGAATTTTTATCAAAATAGTTCAACCGTTCACAAATTTTACGGGTTTAACATGAAATTTGCCCTGTTGGATATAAAGTTATAAACTATTTTATTGAATCCATTTGAACAAAAAAGAGGAGTCAAGCTAAGATAGAAAAACAATTCAAAAAAAAAGATTTTAATTGCCAATGAGATTTCTATGCTTGTGTTGAACCAACAAACCCTTACTAATAGACATGCAATGATCCTACATAGAGAATGTATATGTTAAAGTTGGTGTAGCAAGCTGTTCAGCGAATGTTAGACTAGCCAAAGAGACTTTGGATGAGTTCTAAATTAAGGCTAGAATCCTTGGCTAGTTCACCTGACAAGAGCTTCTAGTGAGTAATTTTGATGAGTTGACATAGTCATTTAGACAAATATTCTTAATTAATTGCCAGCTCTCTTTGATTTATTGGATGAGAGCTTTGTGTCAAGCTTAAATGTTAGACCTAAAGGTTTCGTCAAATCCATTAGGTGTGATATGCCGAGTTGAAGCCAAGAAGTTCTCCAAAATCATTCCTAAATGGGGTCACATGACATTGGAAAGTTCTAGAAGGATATGGAAAATTCTAGAGTGTCATACCGAAATGTTGGACCTAGAGGTTTGGCCAAAACAATCTGAGGTTTTCAATAACTTCAAATATCATGAGGCGTATTTTGGTCCAACTTATAAGTGGTTCAAAAAGATTCTCCATCAAAATTTTTTTTTGCACCAGATTCGTATTCTCAAAATGACTTAATTAATTTGATCTGGATGAATATAAGTATATAACTATTCATGCCCATTTCTTTCAAAACTATGAAAGAAAATAACTTTTTTAGTAAAAATTTTGGCCGAGAACTTTCTATCAGTAGAAAATAAGTTTTTTTTTTCTTTCATCCTTTGTCAATAAATTTTATATGAAATTGCGGAGAAAACCTGCTTGAGAAGAAATTCATTAAAACTCGCAATAAGCTTTCAAGCTTGTAATTTGCAAATATTTTACTTTTCTAATCAAAATTTTAGCATCCTATTAATAAAATTCTCTTGCAAAATTATATTTTAGGCATGCACTAAATTAGTTTCGTATTAAATATACTGCACATTTAATTGGCAAATGTGCATTTATTTTATGAATTTGCAGTTATTAGCAAGATATTTGTGCTATAGTTTTAATAAAACATGGCAATATAATTTTGGATTATATTAAAAGTGTTTTAGAAAAAAATAATAATTTTATTTTCATTTATTTTAAGATTGAAACTATTCATACATTTAAACAATTGAAGATATTTGTAAAGTGTTAAATCTAAATTTAGTTTTATTTCCAATTTTGCATCCAACCTGCAAATATAAAGATCTAGACAACTCATTCTTTTAAAAACACACTTTCTAAATTCAAGCAAGCCCTTAAATGATATATCAAATATTTGGTTAGGGTCGATCCGTTTGAATCCAAGTCAGTTCCGAATTCGACCCGAAACCGGACCCGTGACTCGAAATTGACACCCCTATATCTGAGCAAACATATTTTGCTTAGAACTAGATGGTGTTTGAGACTTCGTTTGGGATGACTTTTTTGTTGTTTCTTAAAGCAGCTTTTTAGTATAAAAATTTCAATTTTTGTACTAAAAAAATGCTTTAAGAAGCAACAAAAAAATCATCCCAAACGAAACTTGTATCAAATTTTTGATAAACAAGCATAAACTAAAGTGAAATAAACTAGAAATAATAGTAAAATAAATCAAAGAGCATAAGCACAACAAGAAAGATGGATCCGGATATTAGAAAACAAAATGCCTATCATCTTCTAAACAAGAAGATTATACAACAATATGTGAGCAAGCCAAGCATCCGCTTAAAAATCTACTCAATATTTATCCCATGGAAAAAAAATTTAAGAAAGAATACACACATCGACAACTTAATATTTATTTTATTTTATTTTATTTTTTTAATAACATGGGTATCTACCTGTTGTCATCTCATAAGAGACATTTGGCGGCGTAACTAATACCTCGGTGAACCTACCAGTAGGTTCAGCAACCAACCCCACAGGTGCATGATCCACATTTATTTTCTCCCCACTTAAGTGGTGTGCCGCATGAGAGAAAAATCGAATATGAGTGAGGAGTACCCAACCATACTCGTCCATCAACCCAGCTTAGACCAACCATACTCGTCCACCAACCCAACTAAGACCGATGAGATACTTAATGTTTATCACTTCTTTCCATCACAATAACTTGTCACATCCAGAAATACCAAATTAACCTTATCCTTGTCCTTTGTGAAATTAATCAATTGGACTCCAAAGCCATCAAGCTTTAGAGACTGAAGAGTCTTTATTAAAGAAGAGCTCATGCATGCTATTAGGAGAAAGTGGCCAAATTGCCAGTAGAAATCCATGCATAATTAACTCACTAACTAAAGAGAAAAAGGCATAAGTGGGCCAAAAACCTTTTCAAACAGAACAAGGCATCTTAGCTAATCTTATCGGATGAAGAACTACTTAATTCTCTCTCTTAACAAAGGATGAAAGTGATAAAGCAGGCATTTAGCACCTTTAAAGTATATGAAAACATACCAAATGCCTAAATATGGAATTAGAGAAAGATAATAGCTTTCCATTCCGTTAATCCTTCTCTAAAAGGACAAAGCTATCATATCGAACATTAGAGACAAATTGTTGAATAATGAGCCAATTGCGGAAGTCAAAAAAACCTGCATAGCAGAGCGGCATATATAAAGAAATTCCGTAATGCTAATGGCTGAAGGAATATTTGAGTAAACTATTTTATATACCAACTTAGACCTATATGATTATTATATATTACTTTTCACTATCAGGTAATCATGCGCGCATCATTTAGAATTATATATGATTTAAAAGGATTAGCAAAAAGCATCAGATAGTAAAACAAGCTTAGTTACTTGATAAAGAAAGCTGACTTTTATTTAAAAAACAGTAATAGAGGGTTCCCTTAATGATTGTTTACTTAAAAAAATTCTGCACATTTTATACTACTGTTTAAGTGTACTAAGAACATTTTTTTTTATCAAAATCTGATAGTCCTTTGCATGACAACAACGAAGAAATGAGAAATCTGACTGCCCTTTGCAGGAAGGAAGAAAAAATAAATAAATAAATTGATAGATTTGGTATTAAAATCTTTGCATCAAACCCAATGAACATATCCTAAAGTTTTTTTTGTGATTTTTTTAAGAGCAAGTGTTTAATTTAATTAGAAATAGGAGTATAATATTAAAAATATTTAAAAAGAATCGAACTAGATAAATAGAATGGTGCAGTTCATTGAATGCATCAAACTGTTTAACGTATTTAGAATAAACCAAACAGTGGAATGTTCCATACTGTTTGGTTCGTTCCATTGAATGCGCCCTTTAGTATAACGTATTACTACAATTCTGTGAAATTAAATTCGCCTGACTGGGGGGGGGGGGGCATGAGAGTTGAATCCGCCAAATTTTATTCTTTAAAATGAGCCAATTTGTTTGTCTTATTTGCTCTATTTTAAATTTTAAAACTTTATATGCTCCTAATACTAAAAATATATATTATACATGCTCTTTTTTTTTTTTTGTGGAAATAGCATATCATAAACTTAAAAAATAATAAGAAAGATAGCTGCTTGAAACTCACATGTCACAAAAATGATAATGCACAGTACTCCATTTCAAAAAGTTAATTAATTCGCAGTAACAGTTTTTCTCCAACCAAGTCCACAGATAATAGAAAGCATTAAATCAAGCCATAAAAAAGTAAAGAGGAGGGGACATATGTCAGAATTCAGATCAATGCATATTCTTCATTTCAAATTTGAAATGTTAAATTGTTAAGGAGACTTTCCCAATAAAATTGTTAAGGAGACCTACACATTTAGGGGCAAAAACCATAGCTTTATGAGAGAAAATAATTATAAGGCTTTCCTAATCAATGAATCTTAAAAGTTATTTGTTTATTTGAGATCATTATAATATAATATTTTATTAATTAATCAAATATTAAGTATGATTAAATGTAAATTAAATGATTTTCTCACTATTTTTTTCCAGTTTTATGATATGATAAACAAATAAAGATTAATATTCTGATTTACAGTCAGAATTTAAAAAAAAAAAGGAAAAAAAAAAGAGTACAAAGAAAAATAAACTTTATTTGAGAGAAAAGTAGAGAGAAAAGAATTCTTTTAAATAAATTTCTAATAATAACCACACAAAATTAAAAAAAAAAGAGTATAATATAGTTTATATATAAATTAAATTAATTATAACATTTTTTTAGTTTTTAATAAAGAATTTTAATGATTTTTCTCTTTTCTCTTTACTCTTTACTCTTCAAGTGCTCAGTGTAGACGAAAATAAAAACATGTCCGGAACATCCACAATTTGTTGAACTTTATAAAAATGTTTACTACAACGCAAAAAGCTAAGGATAAAAATATTCATGAAAGAAAATTATCATGATGAGTTCATTGAAATCGTTGATCTCTTGTGAGTCAATCCCTACCTCAATCATCCTCTCAGAACCTTTCTTCCAAATCCTATCTGAATCACTAAGAAGCTAATCAAATAGTATGAGCAGCGTTAACAGCAAAAACAAGACCATAAAATTAAAATTTCCTTCAACAGGCACCGTTCATCGCATTGCCATTTTCATCAACCTTATGCACTCCTGCACCACCGCCAGCCAAAGCAGCGGCGGCGGAGGGAGAAACACCGCTCATCGTTTCTCCTCTACGAGAGCCCGAGTGCCCAAACAAATTATGTTTGTTATTGTGCATCCATACCTTAAAAACGCCTTTGCCGATTCCAATTTCATTGCAGTACTTTTCCACCAATTCTTCATCTCTTTTCTGAAGCCGCCATCCAAGTCTCTCTGAAAGCTCCAGCATCCTGTCCTTCTGCTCCGGGCTAAATTTGGACCGAAACCGCTTCCTTAGCGGCGTCACCGACACCACGGGGGTAGGAATAGTGAAGGATTTTCCGGCACAGGCAGGCGAATCCCCATCCCGGACGCCGTTGCTTAGCGCAAGCAGCATGTGGGGGGCCGAAGAGAAGTACGGAGGCGGGGAAGGGCTAGGGCTTCTTGGGCGAGAACCGTCCACATCAACGTCCTCGCCATCATCATCCCGTCCGTCACGCTCGCCCTCTCCCTCAAGGCAATCGTCACCGGACGCTGCGGCCCCAGCCGCGCGGTGGCGGAAGGAGATCCGGCGGTGAAAGTTTCTGTGGCATCCGCAGGCTGCGCATTTGAGGGAAGTTGGGTCGGCGGGATTAGCCGTTAGGGACGGCATGAATTCGCCGCAGCCATCCAGCGCATGGCCCCCGAGGCTGGCGGCATGGTTCTTCAGGCACTCACGATAGATAACTTCATCCGCTTCTTGTACCGGTTGCGGCGGTGGCAGTGGTGAGGTCGTCCGGTGCGGCTTCTTTGCTTCGCCGTTAGGATGGGGAAAGCCCTTCAGCTTGACATCTGGGTCTCTGATTTTCGTGACGGTTTCCATTGCTGGTTATTTTTTAAACTTTTAAAGAGATTAGAGGGGGAGATAGGGTTAGGGTTTGGGGATTAGGTAGAGCCGTGTAGAAACGGGAAGGAGGAATGAAGGGAAGAGTTTGAGAAGCGAAACGGAAGAAAATTGAAGGATGAGGACTGTGGAGGTAAAAGGAATAGAAGACTGCACTAGTGTTATCAGGTTCAAGCCACACGTTTTAAACTAGGGTTTGGTGTTATCCGGAATTGTGATAACCGAGATCGACCAAGCAAATCTCAATTTACGTACCTGATTTTGATCTGCTAATCCAACTTTTATTGGCTTAATTATTATTAATTTATTTTTTATTCCAAAGAAAAATTATTATTATTTTAAAAGTATTTTAAATTTAGTATAATTACAAGGATATATTGAAATTTTTGACTTTATATATACCATAATATTCTAAAATGAAAAAATATGCATACTATATTAGTTATTAGAGAAATATATTTGAAAGTTTGGTTAAGGTCAAAATGCTTTTGAAATTTCAATAAAAGCTATAGTTTATGGTAGCCACTTTCATTGCAAGAAATTGTTCGATCCTTTTTACTCTTAGTGATTTTTTCTCTTGTCATGATGATTCGGAGGCAGAGTTTCAAGTCTTTATCTTTAATTAGTCGTTGATTGTAATTGAATGTTAGTGATGTTATATATCGACACAATAAAACCTAGTCATAAAAGGATATTAGATATAAGATTATCAACTTTGATTATTCTTTAAAGTTTGATATGATCTTAATCAAAATATTTTCGGCACATGATTGAACATTCTTTGAAGTTTGTTCGTTTTTTTAGAATAATAGTTGAAGAAACTTCAATCATGTTTCGAAGTAAAAGTGTAGAATTTGGCTTGACTCCTATTTGTTCATATCCTTGATCGTTGTACGATTCGCAGATATGTCAAGGGTCAAGGGGCAGTGCTCATGTGTGATATTTTTGGATTTTCTTTACTTTTTTTTTTTGTATTTGGTTCATCCTTCCCTAAAAATAACAGCTCTACACAATATATTTAATTATGCTTACTCAGACATGCAGATATATACTAGTGTTACATATAAAATTGGGCAACTGTGATGAAAAAAATTATTAAACAATTTGATCCTATTGAAATATAGAGAGAAATTACACAGCTTCTGTTGGATGTACTGCTAAATATTAACAAAAAAACTTGTAAAAATAACAGCTCTACACAATATATTTAATTATGCTTAGGTGATTGTCTAAAGATCATAGTATTTTAAACATTTTAGGAAGAGCAATTGCCTAAAAACTCTTATAATAAAGACTAAAAAATAGATTGAGGAGGAAAAATTATCTAAAGAAGGGGGAGGGGGTGCAATTGCACCACCGCCACGGTACCTTAGGAAGGGCAATTTTTTAATTTTTTAAGGGCGGGCAAATTTATAAATTACTCCTCTACACAATATGTTTAATTATGCTAGGGGGTAGCCACCTAAAAATAATAGTATTTTAATTTTTTAGGGGAGACAATTGCCTAAAAACTCCTATAATAAAGAGTAAAAAAAAAGATGGAGGGGAACAAATTACCTAAATATCCATAGAATAAATAATTTTTTAATTTTTTTAAGGGGGCTCGGTGGTTCCGCCCCTGCCCCTGTTCAAACGTGGCCCCAAAAATTGCGATCAATACTGTAACATTGATTAAAAAAATCTAGATTGATCGAGTTTGAATCAATATTCAACGAAACTTCAAGCAAAATTCGAATTCATTATTTTACACTCAATCTCTTTTGAGGTTAAATTGTTTGAGATCTCTTACTCAGACATGCAGATATATACTAGTGTTAAATATAGAATTGGGCAAGTGTGATGAAAAAAATTATTAAACAATTTGATCCTATTGAAATATAGAGAGAAATTACACAGCTTCTGTTGGATGTACTGCTAAATATTAACAAAAAAACTTGTTTGAACTACCAATTGCAAATCTGAAATGTGTTTGTTATTTCTTGATGAAAATGATTTTAATCATGATTAGGAGCACATTTTGTGGATATGAACATGCAATCAAATTTAGGCTCTTCATCAAAATTTCGATGTGTTATAATAATATAAATTTGATTTCCAATTTTTTAATTGTATGTTTTATAATGATACAACTATTGTGATTATAATCAGAAAGTTATTATTAAAATATTATAATAATTTTAACATGTTACTATAAAATTTTATCATGTATTATATTTATCTTAGTGTTGAATCCTTTTTTATTGGATGCTATACTGTTATTTTTAAAAAGCTTGAATCATATTTGAAAATTATATGAAACTTATTTGAGTCTGAAATCCAATAATTTTATAATTTTTTTATACAATCCTTATTTGAATCATATTTTAATTTCGATCAATTTTTTTAATAAGAATGTTCAATTAGGGTTAAAATAATATTTGATCATAAATTAAAATTATTTTCATGTATGTCTCAACCTTGGTAAAATTTTATTCAAAGATTTTTTCAATATTATTTAAATCAATTTTGGTCACCAAGGACTTATAAAAGTAGTCCATGGTCCAAAGGAGAGGTGATTAGAACAAAAATTTAAAGAATTTTTTTCCCAATGAACATATTTCTCCAATTTTAGACATATATAATCAAATTTATCTTTACAGAAATTCCTAATTTTTATGTATTTACATATATAACATTTGAATTTTGATGTTTACTTATATAATGTCTAAGTTTTAAATCTTACAAAAGCACTGGCATTATCTTTTCTAAAGTAAAATATATATTTTCAAGGATATGTTTTGATGTAATTTAGGCACTAAAATTTTATATATGTAAATATTGAAAAATCAGTGTTAAGAAATGTAGATACATAAAATTGCATGATATGTAGGTAAATCTGTCAATTATGTATCAATTTGTATGTATAATATCAAATTATTTGTATTTATTGAATTAATGGCTAGGTCGAATTTTATTAAAAAAAAATAAAGCAATATCCACTATTGATCACTCCATTCATTTATGATAAGGATTGCCAGCAAGGGAGAGAAGAGAGAAAGACAGATTTGGGTAAATTCGACCCATTTTCAACTAACAGCCTAGTTCTAAAAGTTGCTTGGATCTAGTAAATGACATTTTGCCATCTCAATTTTCAAAAATACTTTAATTTTAAGAATATTTTATTTAATTTATAATTCCGTTGGCAAAAAAAATAGGAATAACTTGTTATTTGCAAAACTTTCACCACGTAACTTTTAGTATATTATAAATACAATGATTCTGAATATTTATGTGTTTTTTTTTTTTAAATTGCAATGATATTTTGTTATTTAATTGTCTAGTAAACAATATTGACATTGAAAAATAATGATGTATTACAATTAAAGTCTTAAAACAACATTTTACACAATATCAAATAATTTAGTAATGTTCTGCAACAACGTATTTATATTCAGTAGTACATTTAACTGCCTATCATTATAGTCAAGAATGAATTTATTTATGTTTTAATTACTAAAATGCAATGAATTATTTGCTTAATTGGTTGAAATGTGTGTTTATGAGAAAATATTGAGACATATCCACGCAAAAAACTTCTAAAATTAAAATAGGAATCATCTAGGCTTCGATTTCAACAAACTTATAGTTGAATTGAACATCTCGAATAAACGAACCCAACAACACCAAAATTAGTTCAATCTGAGTCTAATTGAGCCCAAATCAAAGGTCAAAAGCATACTTGGAGGCTTCAAGCATTAATTGTATAACTAAATGATTGTCAAATATGACATGCTCATAGTCAAATCAAGCGGCTTGATGAGCTGAATCCAACGAGCCCAAAATCATCAAATTCTGACATCATTAAGGTACTTAAATGCTCAATCAACGGTCTATGATCGAGGGAGTCGATATTGATCATCTTTCCTAACACTCCTAACTTGACCTTGACCTTCTCCATATTTGCAAGCAATGTCACTCCAAGAAAATTGTAAATGGGCCCCCATTCTTCACATAAGGGGGAGAAAGAAAAAAGGGGAAGAGAGGAGGGAGAGAGGAGGGGAAAGAGAAAATTTGGAGGGCTATCTTGTCGTCAACCACTGTCGGAGCTCTTCTCGACTATAGTCAATGTTTTTCTCGACAACCACCAGAGTTTTCTCAACCGCCGTTGAAGTTCTAGACCACCGCTAGAGTTTTTTTTCCGGCTGCCATCGAAGTTCTTCTCGATCGCAGCCATAGTTCTTCCCGACCGCCGTCAAAGTTCTTCCCGACCATCACCAGACTTCTACACCAAGAGTATTCATCTAAAGATTAGCAAAGCTTTTCAATATATTATATTCTCCCTGTCCTCGAGTTGGAGGATGTATTGACTTTTGTTGTAATCTATTCAAATTATAATGGAACTCTTTCAACTGGGCAATGACCCATGATTTTTCCCTTTCTCGGATTTTTCCGCACAAAAATCCTGATTCTTTATCTTATGTTTGTGTGTTGAGATTTTGTACATCACTAAGACAAAGCATTTTCAATCTACCACCATGAATTTTTCAACCCGCAACAATTATAATAATAAATGTGATTCATTTTATTATTAAGTGCTTTGATGTATATTAAACTAATGATGCATTTATGTTTTCCTAAGTAGATTACCTTCTTCTTTAGGCTACTATTATTTTTTGCATTTAAAGGACCTTATTATTTTGATTTAGTTGGTGTGCGAATTGATCCTTGTATATGATTATGTATTATATAATATTCTCATGAAATTTACTTTGATTCCAACCATTCTTTCTCTTATACAATATTTCTTTAGCTCATTCTCAATATGATAATTAGTTTTAAATACTTATATATACACCACCAAAAATTTCCTTGATCATACATGATTCTCGAGGTATATTTGAATTGGAAACTTCCAAAAAAAGAATTCGGGATCATATAAACTCTAGTTTTAACTAACTTATAGTGGAACTAAACGTGAAAGTCTCAACAAGACGAGCCCATCAACACAAAAAATGACCCAATCTAAGTCATAATAGGCCCAAATCAAGGCCCTGAAACGTAATTGAAAAATTCAGGATACTAATTAGATGATTAATGATATCAAAATATGACATGCTTATAGTCAAATTAAGCAACTTGATGAGAAGAATCCAACAAGCCCAAAATAACTAGATTTTA